TTTTTGTTTTTCGTTTTTTTAATATTGTATTCTAATTTTGATTTGTAAAAAAATGTATATATACCTTAAGAAAAGAAAAAGAAATATACATAATAAAGTTAAATAATAAAAAAATACATTTTTACATACTGGCACGTTTATCATGATTTTCTTCAGTATCAAACCGAAAATCAATTTCATTGATTATAGTATATCTATTATTTTAATTATCAAATTTTTATAAAATTCTCTTGTATTAGGCAATCCGGATCTATTACGTTTTTTATCTAAATTGTCTTCAATATTTTCCTTTAAATTTAAATTTCTCCAAAAAACATCAAAGTTTTCTTGTTAGATTTAACTGAATTTCTGAAATCGTTAATACTTTTAAGACAATATGATCATCGTTAATTTTAGTTTGAAGTATATCAAATAATAAATCAGATTCTGGAAAAACTTCTTGAAAAAAATATAACAAAATTAGAAAATTTGCATCATTTAATATATTTAAATAGCCACGAGATGTTATTAGAACATCATTATCCCAAACAATATCAGATTCTTCATCAATCATACTTTCAAAAAAAACTAGTAGATCCTTCAAATAATTGAAAACTGTTTGAACCAGCCGATTGTATTCCCATCTTGTTGGGGCTACTCGTGGTAATCTTTTTTTAAACATATTTATCAAATTCTGCTGTACGCTTAGATGATGTACTAAAAAAACTGGCTAAACCAGATAAAGTTGCAAAAAAAACCTTACATTCTTTAATTTTGCTGCAAGATTTTGATAATATAAGATTTAACTTGTGGGCAAAACAATGAATATAAAGTGCAGAAGGATTGACGTCTCTAATTTTTGCTTGCAGTCCATGTGAATCACCTGACATAACAGCTGCGCCATCGCAACTTTGACCTATCAATTTTTTCATAATTTTCTTATCATTCAAAAATTTAATGACAAATTTTGATAAAGAATTAGCATCACGATGCATTGTAACATCAAAGAATTCAATAAATCTTTCATATAATGTCCCGTTATTTAAAACATATCGAAGAACTACAGCCAGTTGGGATTTCTTATTTATATCAATTGTTTCATCTAATATTATTGTTATAAATTCCGTTTCTTCCAATTCATCTAATATTTTTTGGCGTAAGACATATGAAATGGAATTAATTAAATCATTTTGGATATAACTTGATAGTCCAATAAAAGTTGTACTATTTTCTAAATGATGTTTTATAGCAAATTTTCTTCCGCGAGCAAATAAATTAATTCAATATAATTTCCTCTATTTACTGAATTAGGTGATTCATCATCACCACGGAATGCGAGCTGCTGAACTCCAAGAAAACATATAGAATTGATTAAAATTTTCAATATTTCTCTATTTGATTTAACTTTCAAATTATGCTGTTCGATTGATATTTTGCACATCGAATCTATCATATTTTCAATACGAATTTCGCCAAATGTTTTTAATTGAATCATCGACTGCAAATGAGCTATTGATTCTTCATGTCGTTTAACTGCCTTTGAAAAATTATTCATATCCGAAAATCCTCTATCATTCCAAACATATTTTTCCTTTGCGAATAATAAGCATGACCAACAATATAGAGAATTAGAAAATTCACATCCAGTGAGCCATTCATATTTATCATATTTATCGATAGAAAAATTACGAATGCAAGATTTTATTTCTTTTTTTAAATTTCTTAAAATTGGCTTTGGTCTTCCTTTTTCAATAATTAATTTTTTGGTATCAAAATTTCTTGAGCTAAATGATAATATTAATAAATTTTCAATAATACAATTACAATTATTAAACATTAATTTAAAGAAAAAAAAATTTTTTTTTAAAAAGTAAGAAAAAAAATTTATTTTTCTTTTATAAAAAAATAAGCATTTTTTATTTGCTTCCCCAATGCTTAATTTTTAATTGTAAAATTAAACAATATTATAACATGATTTTCTATTTATTTATTGAAAAAATAAGCAATATTAGATTTGATTCCCTCTTGTATATTTTTTTTAACGTAATAAAAAAATTACACCAAAAAAATATCGTATGAATCATGATTTATTAGTATATTATTATAGGAAAATAAGCAATATTAAATTTGCTTCCATCATTTTTTAACATAGTAAATATAATAGTAAATTTTTTTACGTAGTAAAAATAATAGTAAATTTTTGAACGTAGTAAAAATAATAGTAAATTTTTTAACGTAAATTTTTTATCGTAGTAAAATATTATAAATCTTTTTAACGTTATAAAAAATATATTAATTATTTTAAGGAAGTAATTTTTTTTTTTAGCATAGTATAAAGATTATATTAAGTTTATCTAAGAATTTTGTAAAAAAAAATTTCAAGGGAAGCAATGCTTCCCTTGCTTCTATGGACGCTTCGTCCCTGATTCATAGAAATTTTTCGCTATTATTATTAAAAATTAATTAATGTAATATACTATAATATAAGACGATTTTTATTTTTAAATTTTAGCATAAATAAATTAACGGATAAATTTTGTGTAATTTTTCTTTCATAAGCCATCAATACTAAATTTTGCTTACGTTTATCTTTCATCGACTCTCTAGTGCTCGATAGAACACTCTTTATTATAGAGAAAGAGGCCACACAAGAAGCCGTTGGTACCCTAATGATGATGGCTGTTGAGTAGCATTTGTACAATTCTTTAAATACGTGAGGATTTTTTTTTATATATAATATAATATGAATATACAAAATTATATTATAATATACAACAATTTTTATTTTTAAATTTTAGCATAAATGAATTAACGTATAAATTTTGTGTTATTTTTCTTTCATAAGCCATCAATACTAAATTTTTGTTACGTTGATTTTTCATGGAAACTCTAGTGCTCGATAGAACTCTCTTTTTTTTATAGAGAAAGATGCCACACAAGAAGCCGTTGGTACCCTAAAGAGATGGCTCCTGAGTAGCATTTGTACAATTCTTTAAATCATAGGCGTAGCCAGGGGGGGGCAAGGGGAAATCCCCCCTTCAGAAATTTATCACTTTTTGTGAATATCATTTTAAGCTAATAAAAAATATCCCCCTTAGTCTTCCCCTACTGCCTGACCCTCAGAAATGTATGCATATATCTTAAACAATAATTTGAAAGAAAGAATATAAAAGTTGATATTTTTTTTATAAAAATATTCATCATAATTTATACATTTTTGGAAAAAAGCATTTATACATATAAAAAGTGACCCAAAAATGTTTTTAAGAAATGGAATATAAGCCAAGGCTAAGTCTTAAGACAAAAGAGAAATGTATTATTATTATTAATACCTTAAATTACTAAATAATATAATATATCAAATATAATTTTTTATAAAGTGAGTAATTTTAATTTATTTATCTTAATAAAAGTAAAATATAATTATAAAACTATTGATAAAATTAAATCATAAAATAAATAAAAAAAATTAAAGCACAATACAAACAGTGGAATATTATGATCTAATTTTATCAATTATCATATGACAATTAAGTAATTTTTACTAATATAGCGAATTATATATTTTACAAAAAAATATAACATATTGATAAGGACATCAGAAAATATCTTTTAAAGATATTGTGGGATGAATAATATGAAGATAAATTTTTAATATCATTTTTTATTTAAAATAAATAGATAGGGTTAAATAATTGAATGCAAATTGTTGCTGTATTTATTATCAAGATCATTGATTAGTAAAATTTTTAAAATATTAACTGTAATATATTTCCTAACTGTCTAATATGTCTGTAAAAGTGGAATTTTACCTAGCATTTTGTAACTATTTCTATATAATAGAGGAATATCAACTATATGTCTACTTACTTTTTATAATAAATTTCTTATACTTGTTTGGAATAAATTATTACCATGCTTTTATATTAATGTATATACAAATAATTTATTATATTTTATATAAACTAATAAAAATATATTTCATATTTGTTTCAGGCTTATTTTTTTATTAAAATTAATCTCCTATCTTGTAAAGTATTTTATGACTATATATAGACTAAGGTAACCCGGCCGAAGGCCTGGCAAAAACGGGCAGAAGCAGGGTTGCCAGGTCAAAATTTTCAAATTGCGGGAGAAATTTGGTATTATGCGGGAGAAATATGAAAATTGCGGAAGAAATATAAAAATTGCTAAAAAAAATTTATTTTCGGTCGGGATTTTGAATTGACTTAATTATCCGCCTATTATTTTTATAATTAATTTATATAAATACAAAGTCGGTAACTATTTTTAAAAATAAAATACGTCTTGATTTATTAGAATATATTAATTTATAAAAAAAACCAACGTTCTTTTTTAAATATAAAAGAATGTAAACAAGATAAAATTTTATTAAAAAAAAACATTTTAATTTTACAATTAAAAATACATTTTATGTGAATGTCCCGCAAAACGACCGCAATTGGAAATCTATCGTGTGTGTGTGCATAACATTATAGAGATAGGTGCTTAATTATTACGTATCACGTTTAAATACATAATAAGGTACTCCAAAAATAAGAAATAATACAGATGTAACTACAGTTGCGGCAATTTTAATCACTTACAGTGGCGTAATTTTTTTTTTTTTTTTTTTTTTATAAAATAAAAAATTATTATTTTTTTATTGCGAATAATTATATTTAAAAAACGGTTTCAATTTAGAGAAATAAGATAATATATTATATATAATACAATATGAATATGAATATCACAATGAAATATATTTATAAAAAAAGGAGTTTTAATTTTAAATGATCACATCGTTTAAAAATATATATAAATTATATGAATTAAAATATTAAATAACAATAAAAGAATAAAGATATATTGTATGTAAATAATTTCTGGCATAGTTATTTATTAAATAACAATAAAGATATTTTGTAAATATTTTCTGGCTTGGCATAGTTAATTAGATATTTATAAATTTAATTATTAAATATATATTTTTAAACCATATAGATAGTTTGTAAATTTTAATTTTTTATAATTTTTAAATATGGATATCCGTAAGTTTTTTCGTCAACAACAAAAAGAAAAAGGTATATAAAAATTTAAGTTGTGTAATTTGAATTAGAAATTTATATAGATATAGATGTTGCTCTTGCTAGTAAAAATCAGCCATCAGTTGAGTTGGTTTTCGTTGTATCCTCAGATGACGAAGGTAATGGTATTATTTATAATATCTTTTATTTAAATCTTGCAATTAGAAAGACCAGACATACCATTACCACTCCATGGGAAAACCAATGATGAGTTAGCTACAAAATCATCAAATGATGGTATATATTCTAAATTATTTATAATTTCTAATATTTTTTTATTAAAAATAGAAACATTTACAAAAGCATGTGAGCTATCAGTTGATTTGGCTGGAAAATCATCAAATGATGGTATAGTATTTATTTTAATTCCATTTTTTTATTTGTAAATTATACTATTTTCATTTTGAGTTATTAAAATTTTGCAATGTACGATATTTAGTTATAATTTTAAAGTTAGTCATTTTTTTGTGTTATTTTGAAAAAGGTAGTACATTATAAGTCAAACAGAGTTGAGCAGTATTGAAAACTTGTATCTACAATACAAACAGAGTTGGGCAGGCCCTCCAGAAAAATAATCTAGATACAGATTTGTTGTGAAAAAATGAATCTTAGATACAGATGATTTATCATTACCAATTAAACTAGAATAGTTTATAAAATACAGTTTTTATTATTTATTTGTGAAGAACATAATTATTTTCTTAAAATCTTTTGTATATACAATCTTGGGCAGCTTATAATATTTAGAAACTTATTTTCATAATTTAAATATTACTACCTTCTTCATTTGCATGAGTGTAAATCATCCTATAAATATAAAAATATTAATTAAAATTGGTAATGATATTCTATAGTAATTTCCTTCTACTTGTATCTGTCTTTAAATTTATATTAAGAAATTTTGATATCTATCTGAGATACATTTTTTATAATCCAGATTTTTTTCTTGTGCTGCTCAGCTCTTAACATTGAAATTCATATTGAAATATATCATTTAAAATCTAAAAAAAAATATAGAAACACCACACCGTTCTCAAAAAGTTGTTTCACTTTACTTAAATTTTCATTTTAAAAATGAAAATGAAAAATTGTTAGCTGTTGAAAATATTTGGATACCTGACAAATGTTATAAATTTCCATTGCCCTTGGGCAAAAGAAATTTAACCTTTCAAGCATCCTGGCTTAACAAATATAAGTGGCTTGCTTACTCAGCCGATGAAAAGGGCGCATTTTGTAAAGTTTGCGTCATATTTTCCCCAAGATATGCTGGAAATGGGTTACAAAAACTCAAAACATTGGTAAGTCAGGTGTACACAAGATGGAAAGATGCGCTCGAAAATTTAAATTATCATCAAAAAAATAAATATCTTAATTCCTGTGAGATAATGGATTCTTTAAAAGAAATCTCAATGAATCAAAAGATATCAATATCCAATGTATTGAATAAAAATTTTTTTGATATTGTTACAAAAAATCGATCAAGAATAATTATAATTATTGATGCTATCATTTGGTTAGGGAGGCAGGGCTTGGCGTTAAGAGCTCATAGGATATCTCCTGGCCCCCTAACACTTACATCCCCTTCTCACAATGAAGGAAATTTCAAGGAATTATTGAAATTTTTATGTAATAATAATGACAACTACCTAAAGCTTTTTGAAAGCTCCTCTAAAAATGCTACTTACCTAAGTCCCACTATTCAAAATGAAATAATATCAAAATCAGTTTATATTAAAGGAAGTTTCTTCAAAAGTCAAAGCATCACCATTTAGTGTTTTGGCGGATGAAACTTCCGATATTGGTAATATTGAACAACTATCCATAGCAATAAGGTTTATTGATATGGAATCAGACAATTATAAAAGGAACTATTTGTTCAATTTATTGAATTACCTGACACTAAGTGAGAAACGATTGCTAATCAAATTATTAAATCACTTCAAAACCTGGATTTAAATTTAAATCTACTGAGAGGCCAAGGGTACGATGGAGCTCTCTCGATGAGTGGCCATGTTAAAGGGGTCCAGTCAAGAATTAGAGAGCATTATAGCACAGCTTTTTATGTTCACTGCAGTTCACATTGCCTGAATTTGATGATAACTGAGGCATGTGAAATTAGAGACATCCGTAACAGTTTACATAAAAAGATTTTGATTTAATTAAAATTTATTAGATTTTATTATGTATTATAGATATCTTTATATAATTTTTATATATTTTTCAAAATTTAGAAACAATATCGTCGGTTTGTGACTTCTTTACCCCACCCAAGAAGAGGGAGATTTTTACCCAAACGTTCGATGAAATTGATTCAAAAAATTTAAAAAAAAAATTAAAAAGATTTTGTCCCACAAGATTCATTGAAAGACAACAATCGGTGAAGGTTTTTATCGAGTTATATGAGGTTATTTTTGCGGCACTGGAATCATACATATTACGCAAAGAAAAAGATTCCGCAGATGCGGAAAATCTTTTACAGGCTATTACGAAGCCTCAATTTTTAATTTCAATTCAATGTGTTTATTTTTTATTTAATTATATATATAATTTTAGCAAAATTTTACAAAAAATTGATTTGGATTTAAGGGAGGTTATGAATAGGGCAAAGGATATTGTTGAAATATTAACAAATATCAGAGATAATGTGGATGAAAAATTTCACGAAATATATGAGAAAGTAAAGGAGATCGCTAATATGTTTGGGATTGAAATTTTTAAACCTAGAGTAGTTTCTAGACAATCCAATCGCTCAAATATTGATGCATCTACGATTGAGGATTTTTATAAAATTAACATTTTTATTCCACTTTGTCACAACGACAGGTTGTCATTGTGCATCAAAACCTAAATATAAAATAGAAAACAAATATATATATATAAAAAGGAAATTAATAATAAATAGGAATCACGAAATCATAAAATCAACTTTAATTCTTTATTCAAATTTATAATAGTAAAAATCATAAAAAAATAAAATAAAATAAAATATAATATAATTAAAAAAGTTAATAATTTTAAAAAATCAAAGATTGTTTGTATCGTAAAAATTTGCCTTTTTATACTCTCTTCAATCTTCTTATAACTAATCATAACTATTCAAATCTAATCTTTTTATCACGCGTTATAACAATAAATCCACAAGAATTCTTTATGCAAATTACATATAAAGTACAACAAAATCCAAAAGAAATCTTTATGCAAATTAAATCTAACATTTACAACACACTTATTGATACATTTTTATTTCAATTAAGGGAAAGATTTATAAGTCACAATTTTATTTTAAAAAGCTTTTATTTTCTATTGCCGGTTGAGTCTGAATTGTTGATTACACTTGAAACGCGAGAGGATATTAAGAACATCTCAGAGTTTTATTCTGAGGATTTATTAGGGTCGTATGATAAGTTACTTTGTGATGTCGAATTTTAGTATAAAAATCTTGGCAGAATAGAATACTCTTTGAGACCAAAAAATGCTTTGCAGGCCCTTTCCATGTGTAATTGCACTTTAGATTCCCTGCCCAATATCAAAACATTGTTTTTTATTTTAGCTACTTTACCGATTAGTACCTGCACTAATGAAAGGTCTTTTTCAACTTTGAAAAGGTTAAAAACCTATTTAAGAAATAGCACCGGTGAAAACCGTTTAAATGGATTAGCCCTATTAAATATTTATAAGGAGATTATTCTAGATAAAAATTTGATTCTAGATGAATTAGCCAAATCTCAGAGAAAAGTAGACCTCTCTTTATAAATTCAAATCATATAATTGTAATATTTTCTTAGTCATAAAATTTTTATATGTAAAACTTAATTATAATGAATTTTTAGTCATGATATTTTTATACTATATTTAATAATAGTATTGCACCTACAATAAGAATTATTTATATAATATACTCATTTGTATTAAATATAACTGTTAAATTATATGCATACAAGAATTACTTATATTTTATTGTAATTTTATTTTTTTAAAATATAGATATTTACAATCAATTTTTAAAATAGTAATCTGTATAAAATTTCTAATTTTGAAATTTATTTTTTGTATATAAAATAAACACATAGTTAAATAAAGGGTTTATATACTAAATAAAATTGTTAAATTGTATTTTTTTAGCAAGAATTACATATTTTATTGCAATTTTATTTTTATAAAATATAGTTATTTACATTCAATTCAATTTTTAATATAATAATCTGTATAAAATTTATATATTTTGAAATTTATTTTTTTATATATTATTAAAATAAATACATAGTTAAATAAATAAAGTTAATAATAAATAAAATCTCTGCAAAATATTGTTATATGCAAAAATTTAATTAAAATAATTATTTTTAACATAGAATAAGATATATTGAGTTGATCATAAAATTGGAAGGTTTGGGGGGAGGCAAATTTTTTTTACATCGAATAGATTGAATTAATATACAATTTACTAAACAATGATAACATTTTCAAAATAATGCTTTCAGTCGCTTATTAATTATAAATTTGGCAAAAATTTTAATTCTAATATTTTTTAATATTTATGCTGGCCTGGGTATAATACACAAAATATTGGCAAATTTTGATAAGTTAACCCCCCCCCCTTCCCATGGATCAATCCTGGCTACGCCACTGATCACTTATCTTGTAGTGCAACATTCACAAAGATACTTATCATCACAATGTTGATAGAATCTTTTCCCCATAATATTTAACGACTCTAATATAAATGAAAACTAAAGGCTCTAGCATCAATGTTTTAGGATCTAAATCCTGGAGGTCAATTCTTGACGATTTGAAAGATGGGCATACATATGCAATTCTAACAGATGCATCTAATAAGGGAAATATTAAAATATTTCGCTTGATCCTCCGCTATTTCAACAAAATTAAGGTCATTTTAATAAAACTATATGGCGCTTTCCTAAAACTTAATTATATTTTATTTGAGATTTAAATAATAGAACTAAATGTTTACCGTCGTTATTGAGATATTTATAAAATTCCTGGCATGACATATTATATTTGTTTAACTAGTGTTGTTAAACGACTGAGTCGAGTCGACTTTATCGAAAACTGAGTCTAAGTTTTGGGTCGAAAAAATCGACCCAAACTGACTTGAGTTATGAACTCGAGTCGTGTACTCAAGTCGACTCAAGTCGTGAACTCAAGGACTCAAGTCGTGATTTCAAATTAGTTTTTATTATTAATTAACAATACAATTATTTTTTTTAATTTAGACTTCCAACTTG